TTATCATCTATAAAAACGCCACAGGGTTAATGAGAAAATAGTGACGCATAAAATGCTCTAATTATGTTCCAATGCCAAATGACAAAGCTAGTATACATGTATGACCATGAATATCAGTACAGATATTAAGAGGCAGTCCCGCTAACAGCGGTCCGGGCGATTTCGCGTCAGAAAAAAGTTTCCCTTTAAACTTTGTACACTAAAAGGGTTTGGTATATAAGTAATAAAAATGATTTTCTTTTTTGCAAATAATATATTTCCGCTTTCCTACAGGCGCGATCACGTCCGGGCCAATTCGTCTCCTCCAGAGCCCGGTTTGAGGACCGAAATTTGTCGTTTTTGAGGGCCGCGCCATAACAAAACTAAAACTAATTATAAAATATCTTTCACACCAGCTGTTTTCACTGCCTTTTATTGACAAATGAGCAAAATATCGAATTTTTAAATAATTTTGAAGACAATCTGTGAGTCCCGAAAGACACCACTTTGAGCCGGTCACCCGACTGCCAAAAAACATGCTCAGATTCGAGAGCTAAAATCTCAATTGTGGGACAAAAATCTGATATAAAATTTATATCAAGGTCAAGGCCTTACTTCATTTTAAGAGGTTCTAAGGTCAAATCTGCGGGCATCCGCCTCCACACTTAGCGGTGAGAAGGTAATTTTGGCCATCATGGCACTCTGACTCTATAATTAGTATCATATATTTATCTACTTGATCGATCACTCGCTTGACCGAAAAAATATTCACAGCTCTAAAATTTGCTTAAATGTTTCCTCAAAACCTTCAAACAAACGCTTTTTGTAATTTTATTTGAAAATCATAAAGGAAAAATATTTTAGGTTTATAGAGCTAAGGTCAAGGAAACCACTATTGCTTATATGCAAATTAGCTGGTTGTCACGCAATATCTAACCAAAGTGGATGAGAAAGCGGAGTTTGTATCATGGCGACTTGTTTTCTGAAAACACGAGAGTTTGGAGACTGTGGAGAATTTCGAGGTATAGCTGAGCTTGTAAGCTTAGATCAATGTAGGAACGATTTAAGTCAACATTTATCCCGATGTCATTTGAGTCGAGAACGGATTATGGAGGGAGAATTGATTTTGGTGCGTTCAGGTTTGTTTTATACGACCGAAACGCAGAGACAAAAAATGCTTGTTTGTCCGAAGCACCGGGCGTATCTCGGGCAGTACTGGGGAAATCAGACAAAGTTAAGCTCATGCAAGTACCCTGGCCACAAGGGAGAGCACAGAGCGGTCAGAACAGATCGCGCATTTACTTTGAAGGTATCAAGGGAAGTAATGGAAGTGTTTGGTGTTCTTGTTCCTGTCGGAGCACGTGAGTATTTGCCTATTTTCTGGATTACCTCTTATTTGAAATAATTGAGACTCATAAACAACTTGCGCAAATAGCAGATATTATGAATAATCTCGTGCATGATTTTTTTAAGCGATCTGTAGTAGCTGTAGAAAGGCGCACAGCAAAAGGGTCCAGAGTAATTGGCCGTGGCTACAAGGAGAAAACGCGAATGCGGGACCACGCGATGAAGATGATGCAGTACTGCTGACTAGGTATCTTTAATATAAATATTCTTGTTTTTGACATTAAAATGCGCAAAAACAGTTATCCTCAGTTCTTGTCATAGCTCAAACACAATTCTGTTGGCGCAAGATAAGATCGTGAGAACGCTCGTTCGGGATTGGCTGGCTTAGCCCTGTTTGCGTTGTAATAAAAAGCGGACATGCTTTGTTCCATCCACCCTCTCGGTACTCTGAAAATACCCCAAGAACGGGACCATTAGAGAAACGTAATTGTTGGTAACAACATAAAGGAGCATTTGTATCCAGGAAAAAAGTACCCTAAAAGTTTAAAAACGAGCCTAAGGGACGGACCATTAAAGAAACTAAATTGTTGGTTACAGTATAAAGGAGTGTTTGTATATAGGAAAAAAATACCCTAAAAGTTCAAAAACGTGAAAAAAGTGTTGTCGATCACCTTTTCAGTCACTTTATATTGTTTGTCCCAAACAGCATTGCGTTCAGACCTGCAAACCAAAATGTGGTAGCTTTGATTTTTTTATTTGTTTGTTTAAATGGCACAATCGCTTTATTATCGATATGAAATCTAATAACAATTTCTGGGTGTAGGCGTGGCCGTCGGGGTGATTTCAGGCATTAGAAGAGATATGCCTCTTATATGCTGCTAAATTCCATAACTTGAAGTTTTCGGAGGGAAATCACCCTAGCTTCCATTTAGCAGTAGGTCTCTTGCCAGTCGCTTTTCCATCATTGTCATGTGGTAATGCCTTCTTGTGTCTCATATAGGAAGAGCAAAGACAAGGCCTTGGCGGAGATGCGAGAGATCCCACCAGACACCCCAACTGTTTCCACACCACTTGGTGACTTCCCTTGGACACCTGGACAGTGGCTCAAACTAGAGTCAGTGGACGATGACAGCACAGGCGAGGACATGCAGACTTTTCCAGACCAGACATTCGAGGTGTATAATACCGCAATGGCTCAAATCGCTGGACTGTCCGATATCAAGATTTTAGAGCCGTTGACCTTTAGGCTGAAAGTGGACTGGGGCACTGCGACAGAGAAAGAAAAGCAGATGTGCGAAGAGAAGGTTGACGAGGCCTGTCGGGCAGTGTGTAAAGTGATCGCACCAAGCTCTAGCGAGGAGTTGCTGAAATCGTACGTGAAGCGTGCTTCCAGGTCAGATAAAGAGGTCGAGGCACTGACGTCAGCCTACAGGCAAGCACCAACCAAGAATTTAAAAACACAGATCCTAAGTATATATGCCTTGCGCTATACGTCAAACGAACTGAAGGCAATGCACGCTCCCTTTGAGAAGCTCAGTGATCGCCAAATAAAGAAAGCAAGAACACATGCAAAAACTGTAGGAGTTGGGCTCGAAGTTGAAAAAGTTCCTCATTACAGGGTACGCATTGATAGGTCGAAACTAGAACACTTTTTGGATTTTGTTGACCAGCCTTATTTTTATCAAGATGTTTCTTTTGGAACGAGAACAGTTAAGCTGGACTCAGGTCAGCAGATGGTTATGCCTAACGTAGTCAGAACTGTAGGGCGTTCAACAATGATTGAGCAATATCATCAGTGGTGCAGAGAAGAAGACTATCAGCCTTTAGGCAGGTCCACCTTATACAGGATATTGAAAGTGCGAGAGGTATCACAGCACTAGTCACTCCAGGGCTTAGATAACACGGCATCAAGTGGGGCAGAAGGCTTTGACACCCTCAATAAAATAGTGGATGAGTTGGAGCAGTGTGGTGCACGCCATAAATGGTGCGAGGGATCTCGGGATAATCTAAAGGGAGCAAAGCGCTACTTAAAAACGAGCTACCGTGCGCACTGTCGTGAAGACAGCGACAATCTGTGTGCTGAGCACTGCAGAGAACACGCACTTAGCGATACGCAGTGCTTAGAGTTCAAGACATCCTGTACTCATGATCATATGGAGCTGTGTGAAAGCTGCGACAGTCTCAGGAACACACTGGGCTCTGTTTCGTCTGAGATTAAAGGTTCACAAGATGTCCAGTTCTACAGCAGAGACCAGCAAGAAGACATGTTGTACGATGCTGCTCAAGCACAGGACATGGTTCTCCAGTGGAAGGCCCACATCCTAAGGGCAGAGAATCAAGATCGCGCGAAAACTGATGTCGTTAATTGCCTTCAGAGTGATACCATTCTCATAGTGATGGATTGGGCCATGAAGTTTATACAGATGAAATACCGCGAGAAACAATCAGAATGGTATGGAAAGCGTGGGATGAACTGGCATATAAGCTGTGTCCTATCAAAACCAGCAGACAGAGAACAGCTTGAGGTTACTTCTTATGTACATCTCTTTGACAATTGTGCCCAAGACTCTTACACAGTTTACGCGATAATTAAGCATCTCTTGAAGACTCTGAAAATCGCCAACCCGAACATCAGCAAAGCCTTGCTGCGTTCAGATGGAGCTGGATGTTATCACAACAACAACCTGATTGCTGCTTTGAATGAGGTTCACGTTCATACTGGCATAAGTGTGTTAAGGTAATTGATTTATTGTTTATATCTCTTATTGTACATCGTAAACATTTTACTACTCCGAGATATCAGCTCAAGGAACAAACATGCTACATTCATATATTTCATAAACTCTGTGCGCTAAGTAGCCACGTGCGTATTTATTATTCTCCATTGCGTTTCACTGCAGAGATCATAAACTCGTCACTCTGGATACCGAAATATGCATGCGCCGGATGTGATTTGTATAAAAGAAAACGGGAAAGTAAAATTCAATTCTTATCAAGGGGATGTTTGCTTCGATACTTTAAGGATTAATCAGATAACAACAACTTCCAGTAAGCGCTTTCACCGTTGATTTCTAGGTATGACTTTTCGGAGCCGCAGTTCGGGAAGGATGTGTGCGACCGCATCATCAGCCCCCTGAAGGGCGTAGTCAGACGCTTCTGTAACGAGGGTAATGATATCCTGTCGGCGGCAGACATGCGTGAAGCGCTCAAGGTCCGACCAGTGAAGGGATGCACAGCTGCTGTTTGCGAGATAGAGCGCACTGATCAAGAAATCAAGGTAAACCGCATCCCAAACTTCAGCACCTTTCACAACTTTTCATATGAGGGAACTGGGCTGCGAATGTGGAAAGCCTATGATATTGGAGCTGGAAAACTCGTGCTGTGGTCAGACCTAGACGTCCAAGTTCCCGGTGCAATAACCTTGAAACCTGCCACCAACCAACTACAGTTCTGGGATGTTCAACCTAGGTGTGTAAAACTACAAGGACCAAAGTGTAAAGCTTGACACAGAAACTGCGCTATTCGAATGCAACGAAGCCGGCTGCTCACATTCATTCGATAACTATGATGCCTTACAGGACCACATCAACTTTGGCAATCATGATCCCATCAGCACAAATCAAGAAAGTGTTTACGACAAGTTGCGTCGCGAGTGGGTTCGGAAATTCTCGGCAATGTCAGTAAGTGAGCAGAAACCGAAGCAGCCTACATCAGCAAAAAGCACTATGACAGCAACTCATGCGGAGTCTTCTGAAGCCGGATGGGCCTTGCAGAAACCGAGGGGTAGTGGGACAAGGTTCTCAGAGAACGTAAAGTCATATCTCCAAGCCCGATTTGACGTCGGAGTACAAACTGGAAGAAAGTCTGATCCAGTTCAAGTGTCAGCGGATATGAGAAGCGCCAAAAACCAAGACGGCACTAGAAAATTCTCGAGAGACGAGTGGCTGACGAAGATACAAGTTCAAGCCTTCTTTTCCCGACTTGCTGCAGCGCAGAAGAAACAGGTGACTCAGAGACACGTGGAAAAAGACGACGAAAATACTCTGCTGGATGAAGATCTTGCACACCTGGACCAACAAAACAAAGATGAGGATGTTCAAGAGGTGCTGTCGCAAATAGGACTGGAACATCCGATCACATATGATGGCTACGACATCTGCGATCTGGTCAAGACTGAGGCATTGTCGCGCTTTACTGTGAAGGAACTGAGGGTCATGTGTGACCACTTTGAGCTGCCACGTAAATCAACGGACAAGAAAGCCGCTCTGATTAAACACGTTACCGACATGGTGGAAGAGTGTAGCTGCTCATAAACACGGCTGGAAAAGAACACATTGATTTTTATTCGGCGAATCAACTGGGCCGTGAACTCAGTTAGCATGTTCCACTTCGAGAGGGTGTTGTGAACAAGAGCTCTATGTACGAACCTTTTTAGAATGATCAGAAAGCCGTACCCCAGCACCACACCCATGTTCCGCCCCTTATAGTGAAAATCCTAAAATAAGTGAACTGTATATGAAACCCTGGATCCGTAAATAATTATAGTATATGAGCGGGAGTACAGGGCTCGGGGGAGGCTTTACTTGTTTGCGAACCTTTGTTCTGATTTGAGACTTTTATTAGATAACAAAATACACAAAGTGCATTTTACCCCTGGATTTCTGTACTACACTAAGGTGAATTGACAACACCCTACAAAACAGTCTCGTGGGCATAAAATTAGCCTAGCCTGGATTCTTTTACAGACATATTTTTGTTAGCCTAGTATTTTTCGTATTTCGCTACTCATGTTTCATGGGAGATTCTGAACCAAAAACATGCGGGTTTTTTTTAGCTGGGATGAAATATTTAAGTTAATCTTGACTGAAGAGGCGAATATAGGGCACATAGTAAGCGTATAGATTTTCTATCAGTGCGCGACTCGAGCGTTACATTCACACTGTGCTATATAATACATGGCTGGATCTCAGTCACAGTGCCAGTAATTCGTATTCTGCGTAAATTGGCTGACTTCAAAACCGACTGTAGAATTCACCAAAGAGGGCATTTCATATTGATAGTAAAGCATATTGTGCCATTTAAACACAGAAACGAAAAATAAAAGTTTCCACGTTTTGGTTTGCAAGTCTGAACGCAATGCTGTTTGGGACACACAAATATATAAAAAGTGACTGGGGAGGTGATCGACAACATTTTTTTACGTTTTTGAACTTTTTGGGTATTTTTTTCCTGTATACAAATGCTCCTTTATATTGTTACCAACAATTTAGTTTCTCTAATGGTCCGCCCCTTGGGGTGTTTTTAGAGTACTCAGAGGATGGGCGGAACAAGGCATGTCGCCTTTTCATTACAACGCAAATACGGCTAAGCTAGCCAATCTCGAACGAGCGTTCCCACGATTTTATCTTCTGCAAACAGAATTGTGTTCCCTCTCCATAATCCGCCTTCGACTCAAATGACATCGGGAAAAATTGTTGACTTAAATCGTTCCTACATTGATCTAAGCACACACGCTCAGCTATACCTCGAAATTCCCCACAGTCTCCAAATTCTCGTGTTTTTAGAAAACGAGTCGCCATGATACAAACTCTGCTTTCTCATCCACTTTGGTTAGGTATTGCGTGACAACCAGCTAATTTGCATATAAGCAATAGTGGTTTCTTTGACCTTAGCTCTATAAACCTAAAATATTTCGCCTTTTTTGATTTTCAAATAAAATTACAAAAAAAGCGCTTATTTGAAGGTTTTGAGGCAACATTTAAGCAATTTTTAGAGCTGTGAATATTTTTTCGGTCAAGCGAGTGATCGATCGAGTAGATAAATATATTATACTAATTATAGAGTCAGAGTTATTTTTGTAAACAAAGTGCCATGATGGCCAAATTTACCTTTTCGCTGCTCCGTGTGCAGGCGGATACCCGCAGATTTGACTTTAGAACCTCTTAAAATGAAGTAATACCTTGATCTTGATATAAATTTCATATCAGATTTTTGTCCCACAATTGAGATTTTTGCTCTCGAATCTGAGCATGTTTTTTGGCAGTCGGGCGACCTGTTCAGAGTGGTGTCTTTCGGGACTTACAGATTTTCTGCAAAATTATCAAAAAGTTCGATATTTTGCACATTTGTCAATAAAAGGCAGTGAAAACAGCTGGTGTAAAAGATACTTTATAATTATCTGTAGTTTCGATATGACGCGACCCACAAAAACGACAATTTTCGGTCTTTAAATCGGGCTCTGGAGGAGACGAATTGGCCCGGACGTGATCACGCCTGTGGGAAAGCGGAAATATATTATTTGCAAAAAAGAAAATCATTTTTATTACTTATATACCAAACCCTTTTAGTGTACAAAGTTTAAAGGGAAACTTTTTTCTGACGCGAAATCGATCGGACCGCTGTTAGCGGGACTGCCTCTTAATTGCATTGTGCTGACTAATGGAAGTTCAAGCCTAATTTGACGTAAAATACGTATGGTGCCCATTATGGAGCGGAAACATTTTAAGTTTCTTAGACTTTTAAATGATTTTATAACACTTTGATAGAATGAAACTTCACGGACAAAGTGAATCGAAAGTCTACTTATCATTATAAAGAATTATATCCACAAGGCTTCCGCGCCTATCAACCATTATTACGCCATTGCATGAGTCTCTTATAATATATGGTCCGCGGGGCTCTACAGTTGCCACAAAATTTGCATGTCTGATTAGAACAAAGGCTTATAAACCGGATAGTTAACAACTGTTCATTATTATTTTAACAATGTTAAAATGGTTAATGGCGACGAAAGAGTTCTTTTTGGCCGTGTTGGTGAATGCCAAATCCAAAGCTGTGATATGAAATACAGTTGAACCTTCATTAAGCGGCCACCATCCCCAGCTGCGGATCTAGGAAAAATGCTGACCAATTTCCTAAACGCTTCTAGCGGGAATGGGGAGGGGGGGGGGGTAATTCAGACAGGAAATGGTCTAAATTTGCTTGTAAAAATGGCGTCTGAAGGGGTCGAATAAAGTGATGCTCATATCTCTAATACAAGAGCAGTGATTCAAGAACCCATGTTTATTATATTTGTCCATTACTCCACCTAATCTCCCTATGATGTTAGTATGAACTTATTCTGTTGAACCCCTTCAGTTGACATTTTGACATTTTGCCCGGTTTTCTCTCAGTGACAACCACTTTTAAGAGGAAAAGCCCTAGCTGGCAACCGACCATCGCCGGTTTAACATGACCTTGACATGAGATTAATAACCATACAGTTTCATCGCAGATGAGTTTTACGAGTTCAATAAGCCACGAAGCGGTTAGCTATAGCGTGCAGGGTTTTGCCGGTCACGCGCCGAATTCCTTATTAGTAAACAATGTTCCTGCATTAAAGTCGCTCATCGGGTTTATAAACTTTGCTACCGCGCCGATACCTGTCAAATGGCACATTTCATTAACGGCCCACGGATGGTTATTTGACTAACGACAAAATCACCCATTATAAATGGTTGCTGCTATAGTATACGAAGACAAACCAAATAATCAATTATTTATGTCTATAAATCTTTAATTAGATAGTTCTAGCTGAGCTCATCATTTTGACAAACCCGAGTTTAATGCTCGATCCTCTAATTCCGATCAGGGCATCTATCAATGAAAATAACCAATAATAACACAGGAGTTTTTGCCAGTAGCTGGAACTGTAGCCCTCATTTTTAAAACTTTGTTGTATTTATCTTTTTGCTCAGAAAACGGTTTTATCTGCATTAAGCACCCATGAGCACAAAATACAACATAAAAATGTGGCTCTTTTAAGGTGCAACTAAATCGTCGCTCTTTTCTGGAATTAATAAGCACCTTATAAGTCAAGAGGCTTATCCGCGAGAAAAAGTAGTTCATCTGGACATTCACAGAGCAGGGGCACCCAACTTCAATGTTTGGAAAATATCTGTTCGGAAGATGTTTCGACATCTAGAATTTTCGGAACATTTGTTGTAATATTTCTTGCTTGCCTGTCTGTCCTAGGATTTTCGAACATCTAAAAAATGGTATAATAGCCCATTTTTAACGGATTTTTACCCTAAAAACGTCACCTGAAATTTTCGGGAGCCTTTTTTCTGGCTGAAATTTTCGAAAAGGTATTAAGTTTTGATCCCTATGATTTTCGGATCACTAGACTTTCAGCTAGGAAATCCGAACAGATGACAAATTTTTAGGGGATAAAAATATGCCTATATTTCCCGTTTAAATACTAAAATACGTTCAACAATGCTATGTTTAAGTGGTTTTGAACTATATTCTCGCTGGGTGTCCCTGACAGAGGCGCGTTTTGTTTTGTAATTCAACGTACGACTACGCAGATGACTGAGTGCGTAAAAAGAAACGGGATCATAAGGGCTTACGATAGAGGATGACAGTAGAATTATTAAACTGGTAACGTTCCAAGCCTTCCGCTCACGTTCTTAGCTTAAGCGCTTTCGTCACGACTTCCTCTCTCACGAACGTCGTTTGTCAGAAAAAAAGATTTAACGAGGAGAGGGAGGCTAATAATGTTCTTTATAGTGGAAAATGAACTGCAGAAAGAAATTAAAAAAAAAACAACTTAGATCTGAGTGCATATGCAATTCGATGCATAGTCTTGTGAATCCTTGACATGGATAGCCTACTTAACTCTTTAAAATAGTTCCCATTTCTTTCTTTCAGAGTTTTCTTCATTTATAGCTTTTAAGCAAAAGGAAACTACTAGTAGGCTTGCTGCGTTGCGAAAGTGACAATTTGGTATAACGAGCCCATTATAATGTAAAATGTTGACATTTAGTTGAATACATTAGTTGTAGAGTATCAAGCTCATATAGCAAAGTATATTTATCATCGAAACTGGATTGGCTCCCTCAACACTTTGGCCACCGGCAGTTTGCTCCTAGCCAATCAACTAAGCAGAAGGCAACTTAGCTAGTCTGTTGTTTGTTGTTGTATTTTCTATTTTTTCTTTTTTAATAAAACAACTTTTCTACTTACATCAACAAAAGACTACACGCCAAAAATTGATGGTAGAGTGTAATGACATTTTCAAAGGGTTGCTTGGCGCTATTTGATCAACAGCGATTTCCCCTTACATATCCTAAACTTAAGAAAATCCTCGCCCTATAACAGAGACAGAATAAAATATGTTTCTTTGTTTTGTTACAGGGGAAAATCCTATTTTTAAAATAAGTAGGATAACAAGCTCATTGCTAAAATAGTTGTCTTTTTTTTTTTTGAGGAGTGTGTATAGAGAGAAAGAGGTGAGGCTATTATCAGTTAGTTTGAGATTCGATGTCAGGTT